TTACATTAAAAAAAAATATAAAAGCACAAGCACAAAATTTGAAAGCCCCTTCTTATCATAACAATGAAACTTAAATTAAACTACTTAAAGTAAATAAATACAAATACAGACTTATTTTCCTGTACAGTACTATGGCACATCTGGGAAAACCCAATCCAAAAAGAGAAATATTGAGAAGAGGTAAAAAAAAAAAAAAAAATAAATAAATAAATAAAATCAATAAATAAATAAATAAATAAAATTCAACATCACAACATAGCAAATCATTAAAAGAATACAAGTTTAAAACCGGTATATGTACATGGGTATACATACACATGCATACACACATCTACAATACACACATACTGTACAGTACAGTATAAATATACACACATATACACACACACATATATACATATATATACACACACACATACATACACATACACATATATATATATATATACACATATACATACATACACACACATATACATACACACACACAAATATACATACACACACACACATACATATACACACATGCACACATACATATACACACATGCACACATACATAGATACATAAATACACATACATACACATACACAATATACACACCCATATACATATAAAAGTCACACACAGGTATAATCCAGAAAAGCTTATAGTTAGAACAACTTATTAAAGAAAAACCTTATGATTGCTCTTGGAGGGCTTTCATCTCAGTGCGTTTTTGCCATGCTTTAATAAGATAAGATTTGCAAAAACTATCAAAGCTAAGTAGAACATTATGACTGAGAAAGTTTGAGTTTCCTCCAAGGACATATATAAGTTTATCATCAGAATTACTATTGTAGAATGATTCCCAAACATTGTATTCATCATTGTACAACAGTTCATTTCTAAGCCTGTCAATGTGATTTTCTCTAATAGTTGTTAATGCAGTACAAGTAAATAAAAAGTGTATAATATCTTCTGTGTCACCAGAATCACATATCGTACAACAACCATTAATTTCTTCTGTCCATTTACTTAATCTAAAATCTAATGGCAGAGTATTTGAACGTAGGCCTACTTTAAATTTAAGATTGGCCCCACTAAAATTTGTTTTCTCAAGCAAGTAATTTTCAAGACTGGGCTTATATTTAATTTTTGAATAATGATGTAAGGAAGACTTGCTTCTTAGCTCCTCTAGCCATGTTTCATTTGCATTCTCCAGAATATGATGTTTTAAGGTAGCAAACCAACCTGAATGATCACTGGTTGGATTTTTAACAATATTATTAAACACATCTGTTTTTTCATATTTTTCAAATGTATTTTTGACATACTTAAGAAATTGGTATCGTAATTGCTTAGATTTAACATCAAGTGTCATCATTGATTTGATCATTACATTTGGCCATCTTTCTTCATTCATATTGATTATACGATCGAAAAATTTAACTCTCGATATGGTTTGGGAAACCGTTAGGGGTATCCAACCTAAGTCGCCATATAGATTGGGGCCTTGAGAATATAACGGGCCATCTGCATTTGAAGGCGTTCAAGTCTCTCCATACCTGAGTTGGAACCAGAAGACCAAACAGAACATGCATAATTGAGAGATGGTAAGACAATTGTCTTCCATAAAATATTACCATAATAGACTCTATGGAAGTCATCAAAGTTATCAATTATCGACTTAACATATGAAATTAATTTATTCCCCTTTCTAACAATATTTTCGATTTGGTCATGTTCAGATAGATTTCTAGAAATGTATACACCCAAATATTGGTACTTGTCAGTTTCTGTGATATAATGGTCTGCCAAATGCCATTGCTTATATTTATCAACCCTTTTTCCAAAAACAAGAACATTTGATTTTTCAAAGTTAAAATCAATTTTCCAATCCCTAGAAAAAATTCCTGCTAAATTCAGCATGTTTTTAAGGTCACTTTCACTATTGGCAATTAGCACAACATCATCAGCCCAGAATAAACTTCCTGTCCATTTATCTTTAACTGTAACACCAACATTATTTGATTCTAAAAGCTTTTTCAATTCATTGATAAATATACAATATACAGTATCAAAGATCTTATAAACACAAGATAGCGTTCTCCGCGATTTACGCGTAACAAATATAAGCGTCGGTCAAGGTTCAAAAGTTTCCAATTTAGCAAGAGGGCGCCATTCATGCGATATTATACTAAAGAGAAAAAGTAATCAGTTTTGGAAGAGGGCGTCCTATCTGTTGCCATGGATCTGAGATGGTTCCTGTTCTGCTGTTCACAGGATTGATACCCTAAAGGTAAAAGTGACGCGGTCAGAGCGGTCAAGGGTCAAAAGTTTCCAATTTAACAAGAGGGCGCCATTCATGCCTTATTACAGAATTTGCACGCGTAAATCGCGGAGAACGCTATCTTGTGTTTATAAGACCTTTGAGCAGTATCAAAGATCAAGATCATTTAATAGCTCAACCCGCCCTCGATAAACCATGGAGGTATTATTGAGAAGCGCACGCAGCGCTATGCAAATGAACCAAGATCAAATTTGCCGCAGCGCGTAAACAACGTTTGCGCGAT